TTACAGGGTTTGGATGACCCGCCCGGATTACCAACATGATCTGCGGGCCCCATAGGGAGGGGGCTCCCGCCTGAGACTTCCTCACAATTCACTCACAGACGAACTCCCGCCTGAGGCTTCCTCCTGGTGAGTATGTGAATGAGTGAGCGTGTGACAGAGTGCGAGTAATGATGATGATGATGATGATGATGATGATGATGATGATGATGATGATGATGATGATGATGATGAGTATGTGAGTGACTGAGCGTGTGAGAGAGCGCGAGTGATGATGCTGATGTTGATGATGAGAGAGTGTGAGTGAGTGTGAGTGTGAGTTAGTGGTGATGATGATGAGTGAGTGAGTGAGTGTGCGAAGGCAGAAGAGGAGAGGGGGTGGGGTGAGTGTTCCTGCGCGGGGTGTGCAGAGAAAACAAGAACCCCACTTTGGATGTGGGGAATAATTTTCTTTGGGGTTGGCGCCATTTGACGAAGCGTGTTGAAGGCCGGCAAGTGGAGTGAAGTTGCTCTTGGCCCGCCGCGGGGGAGTCGTTGCCTTCGCTCCCTCCGCCTTTCTTTCGAGCCGATGCTTGCGTGCCGCTGCAAACTTTGGACCCAAGACAACTGTGAGGATGGGGCGCAGCTGGCATCTTAGCGGAAAGTAGGGTACGAGCGCCTTCCTTTTTGCGCGCGGGTGTGCCTATCCATTCTTATGTTTACTGAACAGAACCCTGCAGCTATGTCGGGCAACATCGTTAGTAATTCATCCATGTACAGGATCCATATCAAGGGACCCGCGGGATTACAGCAACGACGCTGAAAGACGGACCACTTTGGGGTCAGGAGGGGCTGGGGTCTCCGAGCCGTTCCTTGGCCTTGGGCCTAGATCGGGGAACCAAGTCGTGGCCGAGGTTCGCCGTTGCCATAACACGCGAGTGTTTCCTTATCTCACGTTCTCCATGTTGGCACGCTGGCTGTAGGATATCAGAGCAAGAGATCAGCTCATTCGTCAGGGTATCTCGATGATCTGGCGAAAGAACAGAACCAGAGAGAGAGAGGGAGTGAGGGGGAGAGAATGAGAGAGAGAGAGAGGGACAGAGAGAGAGAGAGAGAGAGAACGAGAGAGAGAATGAGAGAGAGAGAGAGAGCGAATGAAAGAGAGAGAGAGAGAGAAACAAAGAGAGAACGAGAGTGACATTTTACATATATATATATAGCGGGGGAGAGAGATACATCTATACATATATATATATATATATATATATATATATATATATAGAGTTGCTGTGTAGGATATATACATGCGTATGTATGTATGTATTTAAGTATGTATTTATCTATATCCGTAGACAAAGAGAGAGAGAGAGAGAGGGGGATAGAGAGAGAGAAGCATAGAGAGATAAACAACACGAGAAAGAGAGACGGATAGAGAGAGAGAGAGAGGAAAAAGAGAGAGAGAGAGAGAGAGAGTGACAAAGAGAAATAGAGAGAGAGAGAGAGAAAGAGAGAGAGAGAGACAGAGTGACAGAGAGACAAAGAGAACACACAACATCACAGGGTGGTTCACCTTTATGATGTAGAAGTGAACGTTCTGGGGACCTGGGTCTTTGTCGTGGCGTCGTGGCCAAGCGGATCTTGGCTGTGCACGCTCTCTTGGGCAATATTGGCGCTCTGTTTGGGCCCTGCCGGGCCATCCTGGTGACTTTCGGAGGTTCAAGAAGCCCCGGGAGAAGCCTTGGCGAGCTCATTGCCCCGGGGGATGGTTCCTCAAACGGCATGTTGGACCCCAGGGGAGGGGGAAAGAGGGAGGGGGGCATCCAACTGCTCCACACGCCTTGTCACTCCCTGCAAGCAGGTGATGGCAGACCGTATAAACACGGCAAACCGACACAATGAACCGATAGCTATTTTTACTGGTCGCTCGTACTTCTTTTTCGAACCTCTTTGACCCCCTCAACAGGACGTTCTCTGACAAGCTTCGTGGGCACAACGGCGTTTCCCGTTGTTGTCCAGCTAGGTTCCCCCAAGCGGTGCTTGCACCGAGTAGCTCCGGAGGGTTCAGGAGGCTCTGGGGGCTTCAGGAGGATAGGGGTGGAGGTGGAGGTGGAGGGGGAGGAGGAGGAGGAGGAGGAGGAGGAGGAGGAGGAGGAGGAAGGAGGAGGAGGAGGAAAAAGGAGGAGGAGGAGGAGGAAAAGGAGGAGGAGGAGGAGGAGGAGGAGGAGGAGGAGGAGGAGGAGGAGGAGGGGGTGGAGGAGGAGGTGAAAAAGCATGGTCAGCTTCCTCCTGCCCAGCTTCTGTGGGAGCGGGCCCAGGTTCACTGCCCCGTCCCCGCCCGTGTGGCTGCGCGTCGTGGCCCCGCGGCCTCTCCACTGCAGGCCGCGCCGGTTTCCCAGACTTTCGGCCTGCGCCCGCCTCGTCGCCGTGCCGTCGCCGGCCGATTCACCTTCCTTTGTCAAGGGAGGAAAAACCACCCATACCCGGTAATTGGCGTTTGCTCAACGCCCCTGGCCCATTGCTGGGCAGCCCTGGCCTGTTCGGTTCCTTCTGTGGGTGCGTTGACGAACGACTCCGCGTGACGGGGCGATTCTCATGAGGGTGGGTTTTCTGCTCTATATTTTCGGCGTCGCCCAGAGATCATGATACCATGTGTGCGTCGCCCCCAAACGGGCGGCGCGCGCGCCGAGAGATCCAGTGCTGTATGCTCAGAGGCGGGCGTTCTTTCACAGTGCCCCTCGGGAAACGATCTATATACTACACGGTGGTTGTGCTATATGTTCGGGTCGGACGCACGCCTCCAAGGAGGACACATGAGGCGTTCCCAAAAAGGGCTTGCATGCCTCCGAGGATTGAAAGAGTTGTCATCTCTTCCGCGGCGGAAGGCGGCGGAAGGGTGGCGGAAGGTCGGTGGAAGTAAAACGAGGCTGCCTCCGCCGGCGGAAGCCGGCGGAAGGGTGGCGGAAGGCGGCTGAAGTCAAACAGCCGCCCCCAAGAGATGAAAACGTTTTTGGGTCCAGGGTTTCCGAAATCCGCCATGTGTTCGGATCGGACGCACGCCTCCAAGGAGGACGCAAGGTACAGAGATGTCCTTGTGCGTCCCACCGTTGCCGGTCGTTTTCGCTCGTTGCCACCAGGCTTGTCTTCCGGACTTTTGGCTCGTGGCCGCGTCGCCGCCCACAGTTTCGGATCGCACTGCAGTGCTGTGCAATGCATCGCTTTGCGTTTCTTCGTGTTGCTCTGCGTTGCACTGCGCCGCACTTATTGCACACTGGGGGTGGTGCAGAGTACTGTTTTTGTGTCCCTGTGTGTCCCTGTGCCGGCACAGGAGTCCAACGCAGGATTCTGGCCAGAAGCCAGAAACCCCCGGTGCACCCCCCCGTCGGCTTCATTTCGAAAACGGGATTCACAAATCGTGTATCTCTCCATCAGTCTCGACCCCCACGCTATCAAAGGTTTCACCCTCATCTTGTGCAGTAGTCACGTAAAGTATGGAACTGGCCTGGCAGCAGGTGCTCCATGGACATCTTATCCCCCCAGTGGTTCTGAGGACCCTCAGAAGCCAGGGGACACATTAGGGGAAGGCCAAAGATCCACAGACCTGCCCCTGGATTCCTTACAGCAGTGCTTCTTGTCTGGTGTGCGTTGGTGTGCCTGCTGTGCTCCTGCCTTTGTTTCCACCTCAGTTTCCCCCTCTCTTCCCCGCGCATCTGTTGTCAATCGTGGCCGACGACGCTTGGCACATCAGATAAGACACCCGCCTGCCAGCAGGCGCCCCACGGAAGTCTCTTGTTACCCCCCGATGGCCTTTGTGGGCCCGCAGAAGCTCGGGGGCACCGCAGGGCCTTCAAGGATCGCCGAATAATGCGCCCCAGGATTTCACATGGCAAGGTTTGTTGTCACCCGTATCTGCTGTTGGTCCCCCCTGGGATGTTGCGGCACAGCGTAGCTCGGTGCGGTCTGTGTGATCTGATCTGTTCCGATTTCGTAGCGTATTGGTCAGAGGAGCTAGGGGCGACGATAGGGAGAGGCGACGAAAGATCCACGGCGGAACGAAAACAGGTTGGCGCTATGATTGAGAGGCTCTCTCGCAAGCCTCTTGGGGCCATCTTCGGCGTTTTCTGGAGACATGTCTTGCATTACAGTAAACCCGCACAGGAAGGATGGTCGATTTTCCAAGGTGACCCTTGTATCCTTCCCCTGCGGTCCATCCTTGGTCGCGTTCGCTGACCGCGCTCCGCTCGCAAAGGGTCGACATGGCCCTCCAAGGCCCTTGCATCCTTATCGCGTATCCTTATCATACGGGCTGACTGTACTGGAGGTCTCGGGAATGTGCGCTCTTCTTGGGTGCTTCTGGGTGGGCTTCGGAGTCTTTGGAATGATTCTCGCCTGTCCCCTGGCGTCTCAGAGGTTTCTTAGGCCGTCTTGCCAGTCTGCTGTGGTCCCTTCAGGCAGTCTTGAGGGCCTCGCGGTGGACTACTGGGCCGTCCAAGGTCTTCTTAGGTCATCGTAGATGCATCTTGCACGCGTCTTGGGGACCTCTTGAGATGTCTGGCGAGCGAATTAGGGCCTCCTGGAAGCCCTTCAGGACGTCTTCGGGGCTCCTGGGGGGCTTCCTGGGACGTCTAAAGGGTCTCTTGGACCGTCTTGGTGGCCCCTTGGGCTGTCTTGAGGGTCTCGTGGAAGCGTGCTGGGGGGGGCCTCGGGGATTTTTCGGAACAAGAGGTGGGTGGTGCCAGAAACGGCTGGTCATTTGATTTATTTGGACGCCAAACAGGGACAGCACACGCACACATACACACATTGAGTGTTTACGATTGGTGGTTTGCAAATCGGCGTCTTCTGTCCTGGAGACGAGATGTGAGAGCATGGGACCCAGCAGCTGCCGAAGTTTAGATCATGGGCATGGGGGAGGATGAGAGGTCACCTCTCCCCACGGGGTTCAAGCATTGCAGAGGAGATTGGGGAGCACCTCAAGGGCACTTCCAGCCCACAGGACGGGTCGGATCTCGGCAGGCAAGCTCAGGATTTTGGCTCGAGGGGGCCTGAGTCCAGAGCACTGTCGATACTCCTGGGGGCTTGTAGCCGCAGCTCCGGGGCTATGGGAGCCCGACGCCTCCTCTCGCGATCCCTGGCGCCCGCGCTGCTGCTCGCCGCATGGGCGGCGTGGAGGGCGGCACCCGCCAGAGCACCTGCCCCGGAGGCGGCTGTGCCCGCGGCGGCGGCGAGGCAGGCGCGCAGCGGCGTCCGCTCGACAAACACATCTGCGAATGCTTCCGTTGCGTCCGCGACCTCGGCCCCGACGCCGAGCGCACTCCCAGCGGCGGAGCTGGTGCAGTCGGACGCGACACCGGCAGCGCTGTCGGACAGGAGTCGGGGCTCAAGAGACGGGGGTCAAGCCAGAGCGCCCGATCTTGCAGGATCCTGCAGGGCCAGGGTTGCATTGACCCGGGCTTGGGCGCAGGACCCTGCAGGATCTTGCAGGATCTTTCGCGTTGGCCCGGGTCTGGGTGCAGGATCTTGCAGGATCTTGCAGGATTCTGCAAGGCTTCATTGACCCGGGTCTGGATTGACCCGGGTCCGAAGATCCCCGAAGGAGGCTTACCCTCAGCAACTACAACGACGGCTACTCCTTCCTGCCTGCCGGCATGACCTGCCATGAGGTGGGGCTCCCCGACGTGGGGAGCTCGTCGGAGTGCCAGAACTTCGCGATGGTTGCTGCCGGCCTGAGCGGTAAGACCTACACTGGAATCCCGGCAGCATTAGGATTCAGCTGTGTCTACAACGACGTCGAAGACGGTGGGGTTCTCTACTCCACGTCCACCGGAGACGCCACAGCGTCAAACGATGATTACCGGTACATTTGCCCAGGCTTTTACACGAGCACAGTTTCCTCCTCCGCGACCGAGACCGTAACGTCGGGGCCTGGCTTCTCGATCCTGCCACTGGGATGGACGTGCCCCGACGCAGGCCTGCCAGACATTCCGAGCCAAGATAATTGCTTCAGCACCGCGGCGCCAGCTGTTGGTGTGACCGTGACCTCCACCTCGCAGGTTTTCGTCGCGGGCACGGCGGCCGGGATCAGCTGCGTCTATGACGAGGTTAAAAATCTGTTATATTTCGGCGAAGCGACAGGTGAGCAGACCCAGGGTGATCCAGAATACCGCTTTATCTGCCTAGGGGTATACACGACTACGGAGACCTCCAGCTCAACGACCAGCTCTAGCGCAACCAGCAGCACCACAGCGACCACCACCGCGACCAGCAGCACCACTGCGACCAGCAGCAACACGTTTACCAGCAGCACCACTGCGACCAGCACGACAGAAACCAGCACCTTTACGACTACGGGTAGCAGCTCGACTACTGCCACCATCACGTCGACTGGCAGCAGCACCACCAGCGCCACGACGACTGGCAGCAGCACCACCAGCGCCACCACAGTGCTGTACTCCCTGCTGTCGTTCTCTCAAACCTGTCTGGACTTTGGCGTCGCTGACGTGGCCACCGAAGACGAGTGCTACAACGTGGCGCGGGTCGCCGCTGGCCTGTCAGACAAGGGTACGTTTCCTGGCACATTTTCGGGCTTCTATGGCTGCGTTTACGACGCTGGATCTGACATCGTCATGTTTGCGAACGACGGGAGCGCCAGCACAGCGCTGGCGCAGTGGCAGTACATTTGCAAAGGCGAGACCACTACGACCACCACTGGGACCAGCAGCACCAGCGCAACCAGCAGCACAACGCGCAGCACCAGCAGCGGAACCAGCAGCACCACCGTGACAAGCACGACTGGGACCAGCAGCACGACTCGCAGCAGCACGACCGGAACTAGCACGACCGGGACCAGCAGCACAACGGTGACCAGCACGTCGGGGACCAGCACCCTTAGCGCGACCAGCAGCACCACTGCAACGGTAACCAGCACGTCCACTCTCAGCAGCACAACTGTGACAAGTAGCACTTCACAGACCAGCACGACGGGGACCAGCAGTACCACTGTATCCAGCACGACGGGTTCCAGCAGCACCACGCGCAGCAGCACTAGTGCAACCAGCAGCACCTCGTTAACCTTCACCGAAACCAGCAGCATCACCCTGACCAGCGCGACGGTCACCAGCAGCATTTCGCGCACCAGTACTAGCGCAACCAGCAGCGCAACACGAAGCAGCACTAGTGCAACCAGCACCACCACGCGCAGCACCACAAGCGCGACGAGCAGTAGCACCGTGACCAGCATTACAGGCACGAGCAGCACCACTGTGACCAGCACGACGGGTACCAGTAGTACAACTCGCAGCAGCAGCAGTGCAACCAGCAGCACTACGGTGACCAGTACGACTGGGACCAGCAGTACCACGGTGACCAGCACGACGCGCACTAGTAGCACAACTGTGACCAGCACCTCCGCAACAAGCAGTACCTCGCAAAGCAGCACCAGCGCAACCAGCAGCACCTCTAGGACCAGCACGACCAGAACGAGCAGCACCACTCGCAGCAGCACCAGCGCAACCAGCAGCACATCTGTCACCAGCACGACGGGCTCCAGCAGCACATCAGTGACCAGCACGACGGGAACCAGCAGTAGCACGCGCAGCAGCACTTCCGCAACCAGCAGTAGCACCGTGACAAGCACGACGGCAACCAGCAGCACCACGCGCAGCAGCACCAGCGCAACCAGCAGCACAACTATCACAAGCACGACTGTATCCAGCAGCACCACGCGCAGCAGCACCAGCGCAACCAGTAGCACCACTGTGACAAGCAGCACCACGCGCAGCAGCACGAGTGCAACCAGCAGCACCACCGTGACCAGCACGACGGTGACCAGCAGCACCACGCGCAGCAGCACTAGCGCCACCAGCAGCACAACGGTGACAAGTACGACTGGATCTAGTAGCACAACGCGCAGCAGCACGACTGGATCAAGCAGCACCACGGCGACCAGCACGACGGCATCCAGCAGCACCTCGCGCAGCAGCACGAGCGCAACCAGTAGCACCACCATCTCGAGTACGACTGGATCCAGCAGCACAACGCGCACCAGCACCAGCGCAACCAGCAGCACTTCTGTCACCAGTACGACCGGGACCAGCAGCACAACGGTGACCAGCACGACGGCATCCAGCAGTACCTCGCGCAGCAGCACCAGCGCAACCAGCAGCACCACCGTGACCAGCACGACGGACACCAGCAGCAGCACGCGCAGCAGCACAAGCGCAACCAGCAGCACCACCATCTCGAGCACAACTGGATCCAGCAGCACAACGCGCAGCAGCACGACTGGAACAAGCAGCACCACGGTGACCAGTACGACGGCATCCAGCAGCACCTCGCGCAGCAGCACGAGCGCAACCAGTAGCACCACCATCTCGAGTACGACTGGATCCAGCAGCACAACGCGCACCAGCACCAGCGCAACCAGCAGCACATCTGTCACCAGTACGACGGGGACCAGCAGCACAACGGTGACCAGCACGACGGCATCCAGCAGCACCACGCGCAGCAGCACGAGCGCAACCAGCAGCACCACCGTGACCAGCACGACGGGAACCAGCAGCGGAACTAGCACCACCACTCTCAGTAGCACCACTGTGACGAGTAGCATCACGGTGACCAGCACGACGGGAACTAGCAGCACCACTGTGACCAGCACGACGGGTTCCAGCAGCACCACGCGCAGCAGTACTAGTGCAACCAGCAGCACCACGCTAACCTTCACCTACACCAGCACCATCACTCTGACCAGCGCGACGGGAACCAGCAGCACCACGCGCAGCAGCACAAGCGCAACCAGCAGCACCACCATCTCGAGCACAACTGGATCCAGCAGCACAACGCGCAGCAGCACGACTGGAACAAGCAGCACCACGGCGACCAGCACGACGAGAACCAGCAGTACCACGCACAGCACCACCAGCGGAACGAGTAGTTCCACTGTGACCAGCACGACGGTGACCAGCAGCACAACGCGCACCAGCACCAGCGCAACCAGCAGCACATCTGTCACCAGTACGACCGGGACCAGCAGCACAACGGTGACCAGCACGACGGCATCCAGCAGCACCACGCGCAGCAGCACGAGCGCAACCAGCAGCACCACCGTGACCAGCACGACGGACACCAGCAGCACCACGCGCAGCAGCACAAGCGCAACCAGCAGCACCACCATCTCGAGCACAACTGGATCCAGCAGCACAACGCGCAGCAGCACGACTGGAACAAGCAGCACCACGGTGACCAGTACGACTGCATCCAGCAGCACCACGCGCAGCAGCACGAGCGGAACAAGTAGTTCCACTGTGACCAGCACGTCGGTGACCAGCAGCACTACGCGCACCAGCACCAGCGCAACCAGCAGCACATCTGTCACCAGTACAACGGAGACTTCCAGCACAACGGTGACCGGCACGACGACATCCAGCAGCACCACGCGCAGCAGCACGAGCGCAACCAGCAGCATTACCGTGACTAGCACGACGGAAACCAGCAGCAGAACTAGCACCACCACTCTCAGTAGCACCACTGTGACGAGTAGCATCACGGTGACCAGCATGACGGGAACTAGCAGCACCACTGTGACCAGCACGACGGGTTCCAGCAGCACCACGCGCAGCAGTACTAGTGCAACCAGCAGCACCACGTTAACCTTCACCGCAACCAGCACCATCACTCTGACCAGCGCGACGGGAACCAGCAGCACCACGCGCAGCAGCACAAGCGCAACCAGCAGCACCACCATCTCGAGCACAACTGGATCCAGCAGCACAACGCGCAGCAGCACGACTGGAACAAGCAGCACCACGGCGACCAGTACGACGAGAACCAGCAGTACCACGCACAGCACCACTAGCGGAACGAGTAGTTCCACTGTGACCAGCACGACGTTGACCAGCAGCACTACGCGCACCAGCACTAGCGCAACCAGCAGCACCTCTGTCACCAGTGCGACGGGGACCAGCAGCACAACGGTGACCAGCACGACGGCATCCAGCAGCACCACGCGCAGCAGCACGAGCGCAACCAGCAGCACCACGGTGACCAGCACGACGGAAACCAGTAGCACCACGCGCAGCAGCACAAGCGCCACCAGCAGCACCACCGTCTCGAGCACGACTGCATCCAGCAGCACCACGCGCAGCACCACCAGCGCCACCAGCAGCACCACTGGAACAAGCTCGACGGCATCCAGCAGCACCACGCGCAGCAGCACGACTGGAACCAGCAGCACCTCGCGCAGCAGCACCAGCGCAACCAGCAGCACCACGGTGACCAGCACGACGTTAACGAGCAGCACCACGCGCAGCAGCACAACCGCGTCTAGCAGCACCACGGTGACCAGCACTACAGGCACCAGCAGCACCACGCATAGCAGTACCAGCGCAACCAGCAGCACCACGCGCACCACCAGCGCAACCAGCAGCACCACTGTGACCAGCACGACGGGTTCCAGCAGCAGCACGCGCTCGACGACTAGCGGATCCAGCAGCACCACTGTGACCAGCACGACGGAAACCAGCAGCACCACGCGCAGCAGCACGAGCGCAACCAGCAGCACCACCGTCTCGAGCTCGACTGGATCCAGCAGTACCACTCGCAGCAGCACCAGCGCAACCAGTAGCACCACTGGAACAAGCTCGACGGCATCCAGCAGTACCACGGTTAGCAGCACGACTGGAACCAGCAGCGCAACGCGCAGCAGCACCAGCGCAACCAGCAGCACCACGGTGACCAGCACGACGGCATCCAGCAGCAGCACGCGCAGCAGCACCAGCGCGTCTAGCAGCACCACGGTGACCAGCACTACAGGAACCAGCAGCACCACGCGCAGCAGCACCAGCGCAACCAGCAGCACCACGCGCACCACCAGCGCAACCAGCAGCACCACTGTGACCAGCACGACGGGTTCCAGCAGCAGCACGCGCTCGACGACTAGCGGATCCAGCAGCACCACTGTGACCAGCACGACGGAAACTAGCAGCATTTCGCGCAGCAGCACAAGCGCAACCAGCAGCACCACCATCTCGAGCACAACTGGATCCAGCAGCACAACGCGCAGCAGCACGACTGGAACAAGCAGCACCACGGCGACCAGTACGACGGGAACCAGCAGCACCACGCACAGCACCACAAGCGAAACGAGTAGTTCCACCGTGACCAGCACCAGCGCAACCAGCAGCACTACGCGCACCAGCACCAGCGCAACCAGCAGCACATCTGTCACCAGTGCGACGGGGACCAGCAGCACCACGGTGACCAGCACGACGGCATCCAGCAGCACCACGCGCAGCAGCACCAGCGCAACCAGCAGCACCACTGTGACCAGCACGACGGAAACCAGCAGCACCACGCGCAGCAGCACGAGCGCAACCAGCAGCACCACCGTCTCGAGCTCGACTGGATCCAGCAGTACCACTCGCAGCAGCACCAGCGCAACCAGTAGCACCACTGGAACAAGCTCGACGGCATCCAGCAGTACCACGGTTAGCAGCACGACTGGAACCAGCAGCGCAACGCGCAGCAGCACCAGCGCAACCAGCAGCACCACGGTGACCAGCACGACGGCATCCAGCAGCAGCACGCGCAGCAGCACCAGCGCGTCTAGCAGCACCACGGTGACCAGCACTACAGGAACCAGCAGCACCACGCGCAGCAGCACCAGCGCAACCAGCAGCACCACGCGCACCACCAGCGCAACCAGCAGCACCACTGTGACCAGCACGACGGGTTCCAGCAGCAGCACGCGCTCGACGACTAGCGGATCCAGCAGCACCACTGTGACAAGCAGCACCACGCGCAGCAGCACTAGTGCAACCAGCAGCACCACCGTGACCAGCACGACGGTGACAAGCAGCACCACGCGCAGCAGCACCAGCGCCACCAGCAGCACAACGGTGACCAGCACGACTGGTTCTAGCAGCACAACGCGCAGTAGCACGACTGGAACAAGCAGCACCACGGCGACCAGTACGACGGCATCTAGCAGCACCACGCGCAGCAGCACGAGCGGAACAAGTAGTTCCACCGTGACCAGCACGACGTTGACCAGCAGTACAACGCGCACCAGCACCAGCGCAACCAGCAGCACCTCTGTCACCAGTACGACCGGGACCAGCAGCACCACGGAATCCAGCAGCACCACGCGCAGCACCAGTAGTGAAACCAGCAGTACCACTGCGACTAGCACAACGGAAACCAGCAGCACCACGGTGACCAGCACGACTGGATCCAGCAGTACCACGCGCAGCAGCACTAGTGCAACCAGCAGCACTACGGTGACTAGTACGACGGCATCCAGCAGCACCTCGCGCAGCAGCACCAGCGCAACCAGTAGCACCACCATCTCGAGTACGACTGGATCCAGCAGCACAACGCGCACCAGCACGACTGGATCAAGCAGCACCACGGCGACCAGCACGACGGCATCCAGCAGCACCTCGCGCAGCAGCACAAGCGCAACCAGTAGCACCACCATCTCGAGTACAACTGGATCCAGCAGCACAACGCGCACCAGCACCAGCGCAACCAGCAGCACTTCTGTCACCAGCACGACCGGGACCAGCAGCACAACAGTGACCAGCACGACGGCATCCAGCAGCAGCACGCGCAGCAGCACCAGCGCAACCAGCAGCACCACCATCTCGAGCACAACTGGATCCAGCAGCACAACGCGCAGCAGCACGACTGGATCAAGCAGCACCACGGCGACCAGCACGACGGCATCCAGCAGCACCTCGCGCAGCAGCACAAGCGCAACCAGTAGCACCACCATCTCGAGTACGACTGGATCTAGCAGCACAACGCGCACCAGCATCAGCGCAACCAGCAGCACTTCTGTCACCAGTACGACCGGGACCAGCAGCACAACGGTGACCAGCACGACGGCATCCAGCAGCAGCACGCGCAGCAGCACGAGCGCAACCAGCAGCACCACCGTCTCGAGCACAACTGGATCCAGCAGCACAACGCGCAGCAGCACGACTGGATCAAGCAGCACCACGGCGACCAGCACGACGGCATCCAGCAGCACCTCGCGCAGCAGCACAAGCGCAACCAGTAGCACCACCATCTCGAGTACAACTGGATCCAGCAGCACAACGCGCACCAGCACCAGCGCAACCAGCAGCACTTCTGTCACCAGCACGACCGGGACCAGCAGCACCACGGTGACCAGCACGACGGCATCCAGCAGCACCACGCGCAGCAGCACCAGCGCAACCAGCAGCACCACCATCTCGAGCACAACTGGATCCAGCAGCACAACGCGCAGCAGCACGACTGGATCAAGCAGCACCACGGCGACCAGCACGACGGCATCCAGCAGCACCTCGCGCAGCAGCACAAGCGCAACCAGTAGCACCACCATCTCGAGTACGACTGGATCCAGCAGCACAACGCGCACCAGCACCAGCGCAACCAGCAGCACTTCTGTCACCAGTACGACCGGGACCAGCAGCACAACAGTGACCAGCACGACGGCATCCAGCAGCACCACGCGCAGCAGCACGAGCGCAACCAGCAGCACCACTGTGATCAGCACGACGGACACCAGCAGCACCACGCGCAGCAGCACCAGCGCAACCAGCAGCACAACCATCTCGAGCACAACTGGATCCAGCAGCACAACGCGCAGCAGCACGACTGGAACAAGCAGCACCACGGCGACTAGTACGACGGGAACCAGCAGTACCACTCGCAGCAGCACCAGCGCGTCTAGCAGCACCACCGTGACCAGCACGACTGGAACCAGCAGCACCACGGTGACACGCTTGACTGGAACAAGCACTACAGTTCGCAGCAGTACTAGCGCAACCAGTAGCATCACCGTCACCAGCAGCACCACTCGTAGCAGCACTATTGTGTCCAGCACGTTTACCAGCGTCAGCACTAGCCAGACCACCAACTCCGCAACCAGCACCAGTGGCACCTCGAGCAGCACCAGTGCAACAAGCACCAGTGTAACCAGCACCTCTGGAACCAGCACCAGTGCAACCAGCACCAGTACTACCCAGTCTACTACCACTACCCCGCTTTACGTCGTATCCGGTGCCATGACGTTTGGAAGTACAGGCACGGTGGACAATGTGACATCTGCGATAAAGTCTGTCTTGGTAAACTTATATAGTGCAGATGAAGACCAACTTGTGGTAACTGTGGCCCCTTCCACAAGCCGGTCAGTCTCCAGTTTGTGGGATGTCGAATTTGAAGTCGTCGCGCCTGAAAGCCCTGCCCAAGAATATTTCGACAAAACACAACAGATTGCCAACGATACGTGCAACTTCACTTCAACTGTGCAAGCAGGCTTCCAAGCGATTGGCCTAGCACTTGACGAAGAATGCATCTCCATCGCCGAACCAGAAATTAAGATTATTACTGCTACCATGACAACCGTGAGCATAACAGCGACCAGCACAACGGAGACCAGTATCACTACTACGTCCACTGGCACTTCGATCAGCATGTCCAGCACCAGCACCCTGACCAGCATTACCAGCGTCACCATGTCGAGCACCAGTACCCTGACCAGCACCAGTACCCTGACTAGCACCACTACCGGACGCACCACGACTTTCGCCACACACACGACGGGAACCAGCAGCACGACTCGCAGCAGCGCCACCACAACCAGCAGCACAACGGGAACCAGCAGCACCACGCGCAGCAGCATCAGCGCGACCAGCAGCACCACCCTTTCTTCGAGCATTGTAAGTTCTACCGCAACCTCTGAGACTTCCAGCTCCTCAACAACCGCCCACAGCACTTCAGTAACCAGCATGACGGGAACCAGAAGCACCAGCAGTGCCACATCGACTGCGACCAGCAGCACCACGGGTAGCAGCACCAGCGTGACTCTGAGGCGATTCTCCCACGTCACGGTCGGTGTCGGGTTCGTGTTTCCCTCTTCCTTTACTCGGACAGATGTGGCGACCATTGCGCAGGTTGCTCTGTCGGATGAATTGGGGGTCGCCCAGTCGCTGGTCACCATCGACGACATTTCCTCGGGGCGCCGATTGACGCAGCGGAGGGATCGTCGTGCGACGTCGACGTCGTACCATGTCGATTGCCGTGTCGAAGTGCCAGGAACTGACACGGGTGCTATTGAAGCCGCCTTGAAAAGTTTGGTGAACGACACCACCAGCTTCGTGTTGTCGGTCCAGGACGCAATGCAGGACGCAGGCGTCGATGGGACATTTCAGGTCGAATATGTAGGGGCACCCGTCGTGGAACTTTGGATGGATACTACAGCAACCTTTACGTCAACGTCAGCGACAAGCACTGCGTCAGACTCGAGTACGTCAACGATCAGCACTGCGACGGAGTCAAGCAGTATGTCGTCAAGCACTACGGAGACAATAACCACTGTGCAGAAGGTGTGCAACGCGGATTCGGTGCCGTACATGGTGGACGTGGCCGACAGTTCCTCCTGTGTCGGCATCCCCAGCGGCACGAGTTGTTCCCCAGTCTGCATCTCGGGGTACGAACTCATCGCCCCGATAAATTGCACGGACCCCAGTGGCCCCAGTGATACGTTCGGCGAATTCGCATTCAACCCTTTGGTCTGCGCGGCTGCTGCGGACGTTGAGTTGCTCGGTTCGGCAGAGGTCTTGCTCGTAGAGACGGCCCTCCTCGAAAGCACAATCGGTTCGGGTCTCAGTGCCGACTGGGCCACGGGGGGCGGAGAACGGGCTGCGATCATCAGCGCGTTTAGCACGGTCTTCGGCTTAAATGCGAGACAGGTCTACATTGTCACGATTAAGGACCTCAATTCCGACTCGGAGTCTGGCATTCCATCTAGGCGCCTGACGACCCAGCAGGGGTTGTGGATGAAGATCATGATTCAGTTGTACGACGCGAATGACGCGACGGGCCTCACGGCCATGCTTCAGCTGTACGGTGGGAGCAGCTTCACTGATGAGCTCACCAGTGCCCTGGGAGCCGCGGGCATCAGCATCCCGCCGGGTCTCGCCAGCGCCGCGCTCCATGTGGGGACGCCAGAGCTCTCTACCGCCACCGTTCCCGTAGCGCGCTGGGTGGCTCAGACGCCGTGGTCGTCGTGCAGCGCGGATTGCGGCGAGGGGCAGCGGACACGCGCAGTAGAGTGTTTGACTGGGATCACTGACCTGTGCAACGCGAATGCCCCGCCGTACTACACCGTGGAGACGTACATGCCCCAGACTGAGGCTTGCGAGCAGTACACTTCGTGCCCCTACGACCCCTTCTGCCCCAGTGGCCGTAATGAGGAGACGGGCGAGGGCTGCGAGGCTCAAGCCTCCATCGTGGTAGCCTCGATTGTTGTTTCGTTCCTTATCGTGGCGTGTGTAGTGCTCCGGTTTGTTCGGAGAAGGCTCGCGAAGCGCGCCCCAACGACTGAGGAACACAGCAGGACAGGCACCGAGCGACGATGGGACGAAGAAGAAGGCTTCACGCGAGGTCCCGACGACGGGGACATCAACATCGAATGGACGAGGGAGGATGGCTTCGCCGTCACCAAAGCTCGCCGTGGCCCTCGTCACAGCCCCCGTGAGAGTTTTCAGGGCATTAACTGGGCGAGGGAGGACAGAACCACCGACGACCGCGCCCGCGACATCCGCAGCCCGAGCCGCGAGTCCGCCCCCGCCAATCTGCAGCGCAGCCCGCGTGACCTCCGCAGCCCGAGCCGCGAGGCCCCCCTCGCCACCCTACAGCGGAGCCCGCGTGACCTCCGCAGCCCGAGCCGCGAGTCCGCCTCCTCCACGCCGCAGCGCAGCCCGCGTGACCTCCGCAGCCCGAGCCGCGAGCCCCCCGACGTCCGCCGCCCGCGGCTGGATGCCGACATTGCATTGTGAGTGGCAGCCTCGGTCACCAAGAGACAGTTTTTTGTGGGTTCTCGATTCTTCCAGCTTCCAGCGCTCGACGACGTCGCAAGAGGCCTCCGAGACCGCTCCGAGACCGCCCAAGAGGCCCCCAAGAGTGCCCAAAGACGGCCCAATGCGGCCCCAAGCGGCTTTATTAGAGGCGCCCAAGATGCCCCAAGACGGTCCCAAGAGGGGCCCGTGTGCAGGAGCCCGAAGCGACAATTCGAGCCTGCCGTCCTAAGGTGCCTGCAGACGGCCCAAGATGACTCGATGAACGCTTCCCAGATTGCCGCAAGAGGCAAAATCAAATGATGTTTCTTCGGTTTCATGTGCTTGCGAAGGTCTTGGCTTTTCCAGCTTCCGGCGCTCCATGACGTCTTAAGAGTTCCCCAAGACCGCCCCGAGACCGCCCGACAGGTCCCAAGAGGGCCCCAAGACGGCCCAGGAGAACCCCAAGAAGGCCCCATACGCGCCCAAGACGCCCCAAGAGAGCTCCGAGGCGACCCCAAGATATTTTTTTGTGTGTGCAAATTTGACACAATCCGCTTCCTCGTCAAAGTCGGCGTTGTGATAAGTGTGTGTTAAATTGTTTGGGCTTTGGAGCCGCTCTGGGAGCTCCCTTGGCGCCCAATTTGGCCCTCCCAGGCTATCCTCTGAAGCTCTCTTGGGGGGGGCCTGTGGCAGTTTCAGGAGAGCCCCAGAAAGCTTCTCGAGGCCCTGGAGGCCCCATAGATTTTCAGACTCCGGGAGACCCCGGAGGTCCCCGAAAAGCAAAACGCGCCCCAGAATTGGCAGTCGTCTGACCACGTCCACAGGCGACGACCACCACCACCACGACCACTGCGACGACCACCGCGACGATCATCGCGACGGCGGTGGCGGCGGCGGCGGCGGCGACGGCCTGGCGGCCCAGAGCCTCCGGGGCCCCCCTCGGCCGTCCAGGCAGTCACGGCACTTGCGCAGTCTGGGAAACACACGGAGTTTTCCGACGCGCCGCACGTCGATCCTCTCACGGCTCCGCGACCGCCCACCGAACCCGAAGCTATTCCCCAGAAGGCCCAGCAATACACGCGCCAAGGGCGCCCTTGCCTGGGGACCCCCTCCCTTGGTATCTTGGGTTCGTGGGTTAGCGCGAGGTCTACTGACAACGATTGCGCAGTCTGCTAGAACCACGCGCGCGCGCGCGTAGCACGCTCGTGGGTCTAGTCTGTGTACGTCTGTATTTCTATATGCATGTATGTCTGCATGTCTGTATGTCTGCATATATTATGGATGTAGGTATGTAGCTATGTATATACGTGCGTACGTATGCATGTGTACATATATGTGTGTATGTATGCATGTATGAATGTGTGTAGGTATGTGTTTATGTAGGAGTATATGCATGCATGTATGCATGTCTGTCTGTATGCCTGTCTTTCTGTCTGTCTGTCTGTATGTATGTATGTATGTATGGGTGTATATAGAGTCGGCTGCGACAGCCCCCGTCACCGTGCTTGTGCAACGGCATCGCAGGAATGTGGCCGAGTGTAGCAATAGCGCAGTTCCGACACGTAGTTTGCATTGGGGCGGGTTGTGGAGGAGGATGAAGGAAGGCGGAGGAGGATGAGGAAACATATTAATAATACGACGAAACAGAAGACAACGAAGCAGACTAAGAAGACGAAGAAGAAGAGGAGGAGGAATACTAATACGAATGATTATACTAATACTAATAATAATGAAAATGCGAGTGATAATACTAATAATGATAATACTAATGTTAATAATAGTAATAACAATAATAATACTCATAATAATACTACTACTACTAATAATAATGATAATACTACTAGTAAAAATAATACTACTACTAATAATGCTAATACTAATATTATTATTAATAATAGTAGTAGTAATAATAATAACAATAATAATAATACGAATAAGTGGAGGAGGAGGAGGAGGAGGAGGAGGAGGAGGAGGAGGAGGAGGAGGAGGAGGAGGAGGAGTATGGAGAGAAACTGAGGGTGAGGAGGAACAAGCTTCCTGGGGCCTTTTTAGGGCTGCTAGGGGGCCTCCTGGGAGCTTCCTGAACGCTCCGTGGGGGCCTCTTGGGGGCCTCATGGGGCCTCTTGGGGGCATCTTACGGTTCTTGTGCTGTCTCAGGGGGCTCTTGGCCCGTCTGACGCCCATGGAGGTTGCCTTGGGGGCCTCTCTGGGCCACGTTGGTGCCGTCTTTGGGCGGTTCACGAGTGTCTTGGGGCCCTCTTGGTTGGGAGCCCTTTGGGCGGTCTTTATGTCCTCTTGGGCCGGCTTGGTGCCCTCTTGGGGACCTCTTTGGCTGGCTTGGAGCTATTTGGGAGGCCTCTTCGAGGCTTCTTGGGTCGTCTTGGGCGGTCTGGAGCCCGAGCAGGTGAGAATTTCCAAACCCTTCAAAACCTAAGGAACATGAATGGTGCTGGCCTCCTCGGGCTCTCCAGGAGGGCCTCGAGACCTCTTGGGCCGCATCAGGGGCTTCCTGATCTGTCGTGGGGCTGTCTTGGGGGCGTCCTGGAGGCCAGGAGGCTCCCAATAATGCATCAAGGCGGCCCAGGAGGCTCCCACGGCGGCCCAAGAGGTCTCCAAAAGGCCCTCCAGGAGAACTTGAAGAAGCCAATACCATTTATGTTCCCTAGGTTGTTGAATGATACTGGGGTTCTGTCTTGTTTGGGTTTCCGACCGCCTAAGGCAGCCCAAGGGGCCTCTCTGGGCCGCCTGGTTGGTTTCTTGGAGCGCTTCAAGGCCGTCTTGGGGCCCTCTTTGAAAGCCCCGAGGGGCGGTCTTTGGGTCCTCTTGGGCCGACTTGGGGCCCCCTTGGGGGGCCCCTTGGCTGTCTTGGAGCTATCTTGGAGGCCTGTTCGAAGTCTCTTGGGCCGTGTTGGGTGCTCAGAAACCCGAACAGGCGAACACCTCAACATCCTTCAAACACCTATGGACAATCAATGGTGTTGGCCCCCTCGGGCTCTCAAGGAAGGCCTTTTGGAGCTCCCTCGGGCCGTCTTGGGGGCCTCTTGGGCCGTCTTGAGGCCCTCTTGGGCTACCTTGAGCCGTCTTGAGACTCTTGAGAGGCGCTTGAGCTGTCTCGGGCCATCGTGAGCCGTTTTGCTGTCGTCTTGGCTGTCTTGGAAACCGTCTTGGAGGCAATCTTGGCTGTCTGGAGGCCGCAGCAACCGCCAGGCAGCAATTTCAAAAGGGGCGTTTTTAGGGGCGCGCGCGTCGATGGGGGGAGCCCGTTCAAACTACACAAAACCTCTCAGCCAACAGACAAACATTCTAGCACGCCCACTCCATGCAGGCACGGTGGTGGATAGATCATGGAGTAGAGGGGGGATATGGTACACTAGAGACTAGAGAGCATGGAGCAGAGCACATAATGCAGACAGCAGAGAGTAGTGAGCAGAGAACACACAAACCATGCATTCGTCATTTCCTGCTGGCGCGCACCACCTCCGTGCTGCCCCTACATGTAATGTAATGCGCCAGCGCCTGTTCTGGGTCTTATTCTGTCTGTGTGTGTTGTTGTTGTTCAATCGCTGAGCTTTCTCAGAATTCTGATTTTTGGGATCTGTTCTCGGCGCCTGGGGGCCGTCAACCCTGCATCCCGGAAGAGCACATGCTCCCTGGGATGCGGTCGGGACTTCTGGACCTGCGGACTGATAAGGTCGCGTCATTGGATGTCCGGGAGCGAGCGAGGTAAGTGTCGTCTCGCCATCCCTCGAGTGCGCACCGCTGTGCAGGCGTCCCGCTCCATTCGTTGGCGATCGCTACCGAAACTAGCTGCCTGGAGCCCGTTCTTGCGAGGTCCTCTGCGCACCCCAGAATGTAGAACGGGAGGGAGCTGGGCGCCAGAGAGGTCGAGAGGTGAGGGTGACCAGCTCGCTCGGAAGTGTTCCGCTGTGTCGGTAATTCTCCCGACGTGATCGTAACTTAGAAATTAGAGCTTGGGGTGTGTGTGTGTGTAACCGCCTGACGTTTTGAAAATAGTAGCGATAGGTGGGTATTGGGACCCCTAGACAATGATCTCCGATGGTTGGCTGTGAGAAACTAAGATCGGTGTCCCGCGGTTGTTCATTGGTTGTTGATTGATTGTCGTCCCGTGGCTGTCTGATGGCTGTTCGTGGTTGTCCCGTGGTTGTCCCGTGGTTGTCCCATGGTTGTCCCGCGTTTGTCCCGTGGTTGTCCCGTGGTTGTCCCGTGGTTGTTCCGTGGTTGTCTCGAAGTTGTCTCGTGGTCGTCCCGTGGCTGTCTCACGATTGTGTTTTGGTTGTGCGTTTTTATTGTTTTTTTTTGTCTTGCGGTTGTTTTGTAGTTGTCCAGTGGTTGTCCCATCTATAGACAGATGGGGGTATCGTGAGGCCGGTCGATGGATAGATAGTGGTACATCTGTTTCGTGTTATACATATTTATCTATGTGTGCAGATGCATAGGTATACATGTAGACGCTACCCCCGGCAGCTACCTACTTGTTTAGTGCTGTCGTGCTGGAAGCTCCCCGCTGCTGAAATTTCATATTGCACCCGAGCAGCGTACGATCCATATTCCAACAGGAATGGGACAGATCTCATATGCAGAATCCATGCCCTTGGTGGATTTGGCTTGCAATCCAATCCAAGTAGGCAAGGAGCAGACGCCAGAGCCAAGGGATTCTTTATGCATTCGAGTAATCTTCCCATTGGGTATCATTGATTCTTACTGATGGTGAATGATGTTTGTAGTTTCCTGTCAATTCCGATTGCTTCTCATTGATTACATGTGGTCCCTATTGATTCCTATTCGTTTCTGCTGATTCCTATTAATTTCCGTTGATTCCTACTGATTCGCAATGAGCGCTAATGGTTTCACAGCGTTCATTTCAGCTCGTACCAATCTTTCGCCTTTCACTAAAGGTTGCCGTGAGAGGGACGCAATGAGCGCTAATGATTCCTATTGATTCATGTTGATTCCTGTTGATGCGTATCGATTCCTATCTATTCTTTCCGATTTCTATCAACTTCTGTTGCTTCCTATTGACACCTAGTGATTCCTATTGTTGCCTTTTGATTCCGAGTGGCA